TTGATACATTCGATACCTATCTGTTCAAAATGTTCATGTATATGGGCTTTTTGTTCTGCTGTCATTGCCTGAAATAACATATAATGAATTTTTGTGTGGTTATTTTAAAGTTTAGCAGTATTTAAGAAGTAAATGGCAGAGTCGGAAAGGGACGTCCTAGGCGAAAGTTTATCTAAGAAACGGTGATATATTGAAAATGGGCCAAATTAAGAGTACCCGTAACTGACGAACATGTATGCGTAGGTATATGGATGTGGAGGAGGTGAGAGAAGTGTGTCAGGATCGTGCCAAATGGAAGTCTATAGTCTTTGCCTACTCCTCTAGGTGACAGGCGTGAGTGCTTATGTGTGTATAAATATGGACAATTTTTTATTGTTATCTTAGCTTTTTTGAAATAAAATTAAGCTTAATTGAATAACTATAAAAAATCACAACCGACATCAAGCAACACCTTTAATACTCGTATGTGTATAACCACGCATGCTCGTAACTCAAGGAAAGGTATGAAAAACAAAAAAAGAGTATTACAAATTATGAAACAAAAACATGTTCTATATAATATATCAAAACAAAAATAAAAATTGAAATAAAGTTATAGGTTATTGTGGGTACTTAAAGATGAATTATAACATTATCCTACTTTTCTTTCTTTCTTTCTATCTTTTTAAAATTATATTATACATCTTGGATTTTTACTTGATATTGCATTTATTTTCGTCAACAATTTCACGAGCATTAATTTACACACATACTAAATTAAAGAGGGTACCGTCCAGAATATTACGGCATATAATATGATAGAATAGAATATTTTTAGTATATATAGATTATTACATATCACATAATGAAAGCCAATTTTTTGTGGTTCTGGTTTGAAAAATACCTTTGTACAAGAAAGAACCAGCAAGAAACCCAGTGGGATTTTTTATATAATTTTAGAAATTTTTTATACAACATAGAAACAGTATGGCAGTGATCACCTCATTTCCAGGAGTAACTTTCGTTCATATTTATACACTTTTTGTTTAATAATTGAAATTGACATTTTTGTTGTAAAAGCGTTTACATTGGGTGAGTTTGGCAGAAAAAAGCGCTAGCAAGCGCTCACAAGCGCTGAAATAGTTTTCGGCCAGGACACGATACTACTTCAGTAGCGCTGACACAATCCGCCATTTTGCTTATTTAATTTCTTTGTTTTGAAGTAGAGTTTTTAAGTTGTTTTGTGCAATATTAGTTTTAAGTAATATAATAACGTGAATAAACATATACACGTTATTAAAAATTCACGATTGGTAAGTTTTTAATATGAATACTTTACAAACAAATATTTAAATTAGGTTAGGTACCCGGTTAAAACTAACATCGTGTCCTGGAGGAAAATAGCTACTTACGATTTGACAGCGCTTACCGCTTACGATCGCCATTTTGCTTACAAGCGCTTGCTAGCGCTTTTTTCTGCCAAACGCACCCATTGACTCAAAAAAGAATTTTTAACATATTCAATTAATAACTGAAATAACAAGCCTGTAGTCCTAGTCCGGTCCTAGTATTTAAATCATGAATATCTTTGCTCTTATCAAAGCTATTCATGTCTTTATGTTCATATATTACATTTTTACAAATATACTTATTGCGAAAGTAATACTCTATAATGAAATAAATATAAGTTATAACTATAAAATGTAAAGTTACTAAAGCTTGTGCAATAATTTCCAAAATTTTGTATTTTTTTTAAACTAGTTTCATTTAAGTATATAATGTATAAATTCTTATGAGAATAAAGACATCTCCGACCAGATATTCACTCGTTGTAACAGCTTATGTTATTAATGGTCGCCTCACACGGTCAGTTCAACTGATCATTCCAACTGATCAGTTCAACAGTTCTGTTCAACAGATTGGATTATCGATATATCGATAAATAAACTTATATATAAAACTCCGATATTAATATATTTATGATGATCGATATATCGAATATCCACTTTTTTTAAAATATCAACAGTTTTAGTTTGAACTGATCAGTTGAACTGACCGTGTGTGGCGTCCAAGAGTGCGGTCTGTATATGGTTTCGTCAAATTATTTTGTCTTATTTTGATAGCAAGGAGATTCAATTAATTTTTTGTACCTCCTAGACTTTACTACAATATAAGTGTCTCATAAAAGGTTAAATAAACATAATATGTATTACGAAACATTTGTAACTGAGAAATTGATATACACATGTCGTAAAAAAATTGGTTTGTATAATGAAGATGTGGATAGTGATGATCAAAATTGAATTTGTATAAAATTACTTACATAGACTTCAAACGGTATCACATTTAAATAGAACAAACAACAAATCAAAACTAAAATCTTGTTCATTTTGTTAATCAGTTAAATGAATTACGCTTGTTGGTTATTGCTACAACGGGCGTTTTGAGATGACACAAGTTATATAGCAAAAGTCGGTTATATAGCAAAAGTGAACCTAATTAAAAGTAAAGAATATACGATAGTCATCGTTTTTGATTAAACAGTAAATTCGGGAATTGACACACCCACACATTTGACATTGGACATAATAACACATTACAGTTTTTGTGGAAGAGACTTGTAATCGTTACGATTATATCAATGTAGTGCTAGAATAATCAAATAAAAATTTTCGTTTGTGTTATTCTGCCTGTCAAAAGTTCACTGCTGAACGGCTAATAAGGTGGACTGTAAACTCGATTTTTAACCTTATTATATAAATAATCTGTTCTAATCTGTTCTATTCTATTCTATTTTATCGTATTCTATTGCATTTTATCCTATTCTATCGTATTATATGGTATTCTATTGTATTCTATCTTATTTTATCGTATTCTATTGTATTCTATCGTGTTGATCAGTTTAATTACGAGTTATTATTAGGAAGATACCAGTCCGTAACCATCTCCTGTTTCATTTATTTCTATCGCATCTTACGACACTCACGTTATGATACGGATTCCGTACAGTGGTAGCGTTTATTATAGCTCTTAAAAAATATGATATTGTAAATTAATGTTTAAAAATAGGAAAAGCATAAACGACATTCAATAAGTATTGAAATTTATCTCTAAATATAAAAAACAATGCTCTCTGTTTGTCTCGCTAAAACTCAAAAACGACTCTAACGATTTTCGTGAAATGTTTTGCGTGCGTATTAATAATAATAATAGACCTACTTATGCGCATCCACATAAGGACCCTTTCCGAGGCAGAAATATAGCGATACCTGAGTATGTTACAGACACAGAAATCGTAATAATAAGACAACAGTCGCATAGACGCGTGACCTTGTCGCCGCTGTTATGTGTTGACGAACATGATTCACCATTTTGTGATTTAGTTGCGCGGGGAACGTCGTACGTGAACTTATGTTATTGTAATGGTGATCTGCAGTATAATAGTAAAAATAAGTAGTAAAAACTCATCAAGAACGTGTAATTTAACTAATAAAGGCATACAATTTCATCGGTAAGTTGATTATTTACTAATTATTGTTTTAACTAATTTACATCTAAATGAATACTTTACTATGATATTTATCTTTGTAAATTTCATTTAGTACTTTTGTATTGTACAATTACCATTGGAACTTTTGTTCTACCGTAATACGCGACGCACGCGACGTGGACAAATTCGCCAAGCAATGTAATCAAACATTAGATATTATTGTGCGTTGCGTATGTTTATAATACAGCTGCAGGTGGCGACATTGGTTTTGGAAGTAATCGAGCGCTAATTGATTTCTATTGTCTTATTACTACTATTTCTGTGGTCACAGAACATAGGTATCGATGATGCAGATATGAAACAGTTAGTTTGCTATATATTTTATGCACGTTTGACAAAAGTTCTTATGTACACCTTTGGCATACTCAGGTTGACTCAGACCGAACTGAATGCTTTTGGATAGAAAAAGCCGCACTGTTATGACGTCCCACAGAATGTATTACCCGAGATCGTCATTAATGAACCTGTACTTGCCGCAGAAACAGGGTGGGTGCGGCTTTTTAAGCACTCTCACCATGCACTTATTTGCCTGTAATTATTTGCTGGCGAGATCGGATGATCCATTTTACAGGGATGTCATTTCGTATGATAAAGGACTAACCCCTCTATCCTTAGCCAACGAGCAATGGCAAGACCCAGCAGTACAATGCATTTCTGACCGGGAGACCGTATGGAAGGAGAAGGAGCTTCACGGGAGGTTCTACAAGGCTCTTCATGAACCTTGAACCTTTCGTAGAAATAATTGCCTCCCTCCACTGGCTACACTTTGGTGACCTATTCGGGGAAACCGAGGGTTTTGTCTGTGCAATACAGTATCACGTTATTAAGGCCAACAGCTATTGGAGATACATCCTAAAAGATGGCACCGTCCACATCTGAAGAGCTTGTCGTCATCCCGGTGAGTCACTTAAGCATGTCATCTCTGGTTGTTCGGCACTATCTAAGTCTGAGTACATCCACAGGCACAACATAGTAGCCAGAATTCTACACCAGAAGCTCGCTCTAAAATACGGTCACGTGAATCGGAAACTGCCTTATTGTGCGAATTGTGCTGATGGACCGGGCACAGTCTAGAATATTTTTGTACGACATTACCAAAGCCGAATCAAATAAGAAAACAAAATATCTGGCATTTTGTGACCTTTGGTGACCAACATATAGGGTGGTCTGCCAACCGAAATTATTCCTGTTGAGTTCTAAAATCAGAATCAGAAGCAATGCAATTTAGAGTTTAGTGTTACTGGAATTCTTATTATTTTTTAGCAGCTTTGCCCTTAAAAAAGTAATAAACAAATGCAACCGGATAAAAGGTATCATATTGTCACAAAGAAATAATTGCTTTTTTACGTACCGAAGTCAATTAGGTGTTGATATAATGTGTTTATAGCCTACATATAAATATTTAGTTTGACAATGATTTCGCACATTTTCATTTCGGATTGTGACGACAGTAATAGTTCCAGCTATAATTATGGTGAAATATTTATTTGTCCACTATAATTTAATGTTATTGGTATTTTTTGTGGTATGTATTAAATTGTTTGTTTTTACATTCTTATAATAAATATATAAATGAATCATTATATCTCCTATTGGCTTATATTCGTATTAAGGTTTAGGCTGTTAGTGATCGTCCCATATATATAATTAAAAAAAATTTATCCATCGCCTCATTTCTTCCCGTGGATTTCGTCTAGTAAGAGGTGACTATGGTATATGTCAAAAGATGGGCAACAGAATCTTTCTGATGATAACCCAAAAAAAACTGCGGTTGCCAATCCGACTACCAAGCATAGTGTCTATGGCAAAATCCTCCTCCCGATGAGGCAATCTATGGGAAAGGCCTTTGTTTAGCAGTGAACTTTTATAGGCTGTAAAGGATGGATGCAATGAAAGGACCACGTTCTTGATAACGTTTATGTTCATTAGTAGATTCAGTTTAAAAAAACATTTATACGTGGTAGAGCCATGCTGCAGTTATATCAATAGTATAGTTGTAGCACGAATGGGTCGGCTCGATCGGGGAGGGACCACGATCTCACAGAATACCAGCGTAAAATAGTAGCTTAATGCTGCTGTGTTTCGCACGGTGAGTGTAGAGAACCGGAGACTCTTTTTACTGGAAACAAGTCATTCCATCTTAGTCCTCGCAGGTGACAACGCATTTGCATTTTGATTCTCAATCGAGGATAGATGTAGATGTCTATGGGCTGTAGCAACCACTTACCCTCAGGTGGACTGTGTGCTCGTTTGTCACCCTATCCTATAAAAAAAACATGTATGCAGTTCACACGCGGTAGAAGTGATACCTTAAGTAAGGGAGACCGAGGTAATAAGAAACACTATACTGTATTCTGTCTCATTCTTTCGCAGACTAAATCCTATAGTTGTATATGTTTGTCCCTTTTTAGTGCCGCTTTTTCGTTTCACCGAGTTCCAAATCACAACGATTCTAAAGAAGTTTTCACTACACCATGCTTATTAAAAAAAATATATAAGTAGGATTAGTTAATTAATTATGAACCACTACAATCGTATACATAAAATACTATAGTACGTGAGGGTAACATGGTCAACCGGTTAATAAGGTCACTTTCTTATGACTCGGAAACTACAGCCTTGTTTGCATGGATGGTTCTGTGATACGAGAGCTCTTCATCAGTCAATCAAATAATAAAGGGTTAGATTTTAGTATTGTGTAGTGTAGTTAGATTTTTTAAGTTGACTTTTCGAAGTGTTTCTAATTATTGCCAGTGCTATGTTTTCTTAATATATAAATTATAGCATTCGATTTTGTGTTTTTATCTCTGTCCTTTTCCTTATTTTTAGTTTTATAGGGCGGTAAAGCTTAAGGTAACCATATTACCCCACCTACCTTACAAATGGAATGTTTAACAAATTATAACGCCCGAAACGACCAAATTTATGAAATATCTCACATGAGTGACTTCTTATTTACTTTGGGTTTTAGTTCAGAATGTCCTAAAAGTTTTCACAAAAAACAGACCAAAAATTTCAGCAACAACTGACATATTTCTTGATTTTCGACCCTTTTTTCCTAAAAACGGAGCATTCCATCTTAATCCTCAGTGGTGATGACGCATCAGTATTTTAATTTTTAACCGAGAATAGATGTAGATAATTAATAGCAACGCATCTACTTACCGTCAGGTGGATAGTGTTCTCGTTTGACACCGTTATTGTATAAAAATCTAACGATTTCATAAGTGTATTAAATTACATAAACATAAACACTCACGCCTGTCACCCAGAGGGGTAGGCAGAGACTACAGACTTCCATTTAGCACGATCCTGACATACCTCTCTCGCCTCTTCCACATCCATATACCTACGCATACATGCTCGTCGGTTAAGGGTACTCTTAATTTGGCCCATTTTTAGTATATCGCCAATTTGGTCGACAAACTTCCGTCTAGGACGTCCCTTTCCGACTCTTCCATTCACTTCTGCAACATATATTTGCTTTGTCAGTCTTCCGCATTCATTCTTTCTACATGACCAAACCACCGAAGCATTCCTTTCTTAATCCTGGTCACTGCATCATCTTGCAAACCAAACTCTTCTTTTATCACACAGTTTCTCACCCTGTCACTCAGATTCAGCCCTAACATACTCCTTAGCGACCGCATTTCTACTGCATTTATTCTACTCTTGTGCTTCTTCTGCCACACCCAACGTTCACTACCATACGTTAAAGTAGGGACTAATACAGCATTGTGAATTGCCATACGTGCCTTTTGTATTAAATATGGTTCTGTAAGAAGTATTTGTATTAAATTATGTTATATTATATTAAGAATGCGAGCAAATCGTAGTCAATAGACTATTTGCCAGACTATTTATTAATTATAAACTACTAGCTTGCCAGTCAGATGTTGTTCTGCCCTTTTCGACGACTCTTTGTTATGTCCTATTAAAAATCCTTAAATAAGCAAAAAAAAAATTGTCACTCACGGGCAAGAAAACCATCCATCCATTTCTCAAGCTGGACCAAACTGCAAACGGTGTATGATTAAAAACGGTTAAGTAGTTTAGGATAAGTAGTTTAGGAGTCCATCACGGACAAACAACGTGACACGTAATTTATATATATTAAAATTATTGCGATAGCATTTGCTATTGAACGACTGTTCCACGAAATCCGGAACAGCTATAAGTCACCTGACTCATCAGTGACATTTGACATGTTATTAATTTGTGTATAATATAGGATAATCATTATAATAATAAAAAATACCTAAAATTATCATATAGTCCTACTTTCTGCAGTATAGTGGTAGGAATGTTGGCTGAGTTGCATTGCTATATATATGGCTATGCTTAGTCTTTGAGCAAAAAAAGGACAGTCGCCACTATAACATCTTGTCTCTTGTTACCAACGGCGATACAAGACGCAGTCCCTGTAGGAATTTCACCGCATGTTAACCCAAGGAACCGTTGGAAACTCGGTAAATGGCACAAAGATATCGTTTCTTACAGAACCATATTTGAGCCATTTACTGAGTTCAGCCGTCTTTAATGCCGTTCAGGTCCTAAAACTGGTAGTACCTGGTACTGGTAGTACACCTGTGATAAGTGGTTGTTGTCTACGCAACTTTCATATTTTTTATGGATATGCGTGTAAGTCTAAAAATTATAAGTGCTTGTTTGAATGCTAATTTTATAAGTCTAATGAGAATAAAATAGCGCGTACAGGCTTTATTTGTCTTGAGACTCCTTGCTAGTATATTATACAGAATTTTCCATAAATAAGTTACATAGTTTATCTTTACTGTTTCCAGACAAAATCTTTAGGGGATTCGGAAGGAAAATATTCTGATTATATTACAGAATGCAAAAAAGAGTATCCAGTGACACAAGATGACTTAGAGCAGTTTCTGTATAAGAAGATACCAGATAATGACACTGTAAAATGTCTTTTTGCGTGCATTTATAAGAAGACTGGAATAGTAATATTTGTTTTATATATACATACATATATTAAGAATTAAGTTTATGAAAAAAAATCCCCAATTTTGAGCTCAAATTTACGTGATTACTTAAGAAGAAAATATCAACGAGCTAAAAAGTTATGTTACTTCAAAACGAATGTAAAGAACGCAAGCATTTTAGCTTATAAGTTTTGAAGTGACGGTCTAAGAGCATATTTTGTTCTACCTCGATCGTACTTTTAAATCATAGTAGTATTCAAATCACAGAAATAGTAATAATAAGACAAAAGAAATGAATTAGCATTCGATTACTTCCAAAAGCGATGTCGCCACCTGCAGCCGTATTATAAACATACGCAATGCACAATGGTATCTAATGTTTCACATTACATTGCTTGGCAAATTTGTCAACGTCGCGTACGTCGCGTATTACGGTAGATCAAAAGCAGCAATAGTAATTGTCAATACGAAAAGTAATAAATGAAAATTTACAAAGGTAAATATTATAGTAACGTATTCACCTAGATGTAAATTAGTTAAAACAATGATAATTAGTAAATAATCAACTTATCGATGAAATTTTATGCCTTTATTAATTAAATTACACGTCTTTGATGAGTTTTTACCAATTTTTTTCTATTATGTTTCAGTTCATTATTATAATAACATAAATTCACGCACGACGTTACCCGCGCTACTAAATCACAAAATGGTAAATGATGTTTGTCAACACATAATAGCGGCGACAAGGTCACGCGTCTATGCGACTTCTATTGTCTTATTATTACGATTTCTGTGATTCAAGACACTCCAAAACGTGAAATATTCAGGACGGGGACACTTAGTAACATATAAATTGCACCTTTCTTAGCACTCGTACCTACTGTAATCAATAAAAAATCCTCCTCTCTCTCAATCAATCTAGCCTATTTCGACTACGCACCAAGCTATCTCACAAGGGAAGGGGAGGAGACTTTTAATAGGATAACTAAAAACAGATAACTAAATTAAATAGATAACTAAATTGTTAACCGGAAAATGTACTACTGCAGGATATAATTTTTCTCTGATCGGGTATCGAAGCAAAGTTATCTTTACGGTGTTTTCCTCTATTATTGATCACATACCTTATTTAAAAAATTGCAATTACATATTAATATTTTGACAAGACTAACATAGTATATTATATAAACATTTATTTTGACTCGGAAAAATTACATGTAGAACATACAAGTACACAATCCCGTGCAACAAGGGTCGCAGCCTGATGTTTACAATACTATAAAAGCGATGATGTTGAATATGTTATTAATACAGGTCTTTAAATTATTATTGTGTTCATAAGTAATTGCCTAATGATTGCTATGCAGAGATCTGTGTAAAAGATTAGGAAATTGTTAAAGCCAAATGTGCAAGCTCAGGGTCACTGCTGATGATCGTGCCAATTACTCGCTCCATTATCCGTGTACCTACAATGTAATTTGTCTTACCGGATATAAGTACCGACCGATTACACCGGAAACGGAAGCTTCAGACATCCTTAATTTAATCAATTATAACAAATGTATGCAGTATATTTTTTTAAATACACTTAAATAAAATACATAGTTAGCACTTTAAGTTAATGCTAAAAGCTTTATATATAAAATAATGCTATAGTCCACCAACAAACAAAATTAGGGCAATTCAGCGGCCACTTCCTTGCTCTTAATCCCTCTCAGAAACAAAAGGAGCTCTGTGCTCTGCAGTGTGACTTATAAAGGCTGTAAGATTAATTTTTAATTTACTTTAAATTAATTATTTTAAATTATCGTGGATTTTTGATTATATTCGATAATGGAAATAAAGGCCGGCGCATACCAAAAGAGTGTGCATATCTTGCGCAACATGTGTGCGATTGAAAAACGTTGCACTATATGATATTGCTATATCTAATGCGGTCTTGAAACCGGCGCACACAGAAATGCAAACAGAAGACATATAAAAATATTCTTACAGTTGTGCAACATGCCTCATATCATGTTATATTTAACATGGTCGAATCACGCTGCATCTATTTTATGGTTACAGTACCTACGAATGGATCGGCTCGACCGGGGAAGGACTACGCACTTGCAGAAAATAGCAAAATAGCGGATTAGGAATAAGTTACGGCACTAAGGGCCGCAGGTTTGAATCCCGCACGGAACAAGTACGTATATTATTGCTTGTAAGGTTATACTAAAAATACTCATCAACGTTTAATTAATTTTTGACAAAATATTACAGATGGATGACGAGGGAAAAATGTCAGTAAAAGGTACTCGTAAGATTATCAAAAGACATTTAGCTGATAATCCCGCCGTCATGAAAAAAGCATATGCATTTGCAAAGGCATGCGAAAGTGGTAAGAATACCGTTTGGTATTTTTATTTTAATTGTTTATTTATAACAGGAAAACTTACAGCTTTTAATTAATACTATAATATGTATATAATGTAATTCACAAGGTAAGCCTTAGAAGTTTTCACAATACGTTAATGTTAATTAGACTTCAAGTGTAAATTGTTACTGAATTTGGATGTTGTCAGCTTACAAAATAGTATTACCACTAGTCGAAAAAACATCACATGTGATAGGGCATCACAGTCTAATTAGACCAATTAGAAAATGTGTTAAATGAGTTAAATGCTCTTATGAAGAATTATTATTAATATAATTTCGTCTGTAATTTGATCTACATAATGATACATGTAATGGATTGTATTAACGCAGTGAATGAGAGGGAACTGAGATATGTAATCTTTTTAATAAGTCAGGGCAGTCTAAACGATATTGAGTATATTTACTTAGTAAGACCAGGTCAGCTGTATAGCGCCTAGTTTGCAGCGGGAGGAGACAAAGATGTATTGTGAATTTAGAACGTATCGAGTAAATTTTTTGAATCGCTACGATTTTGTTGATATGTATAAAATATATACGTTAATGTTATTTACGTTGCAATTAATAATGTAATATAATTAAGCCACTAGATACTTCTACTTTATTAAATTCACAAGTAGTAGGTAGTAAACAAATGATATCGTTATAAGTACTGTTTACCGCGCTGAGAAGGGAAAGGCGACCCGCAATATAAGAAAATATAACCGAAAGCAGTGAATGGCAATAGCGTAGATGGCTCTTAGAAAATAAATTAATATAGAACTGATCGTGTTTACTTACAATTTAAGAGAAGTGATCCCTGGTGTAAAGATAATAGGACCACAAATTGCATTCAAATAACAATTTAAAGGTTTGATGATGAACTGTCTTATATTGTATTATTTAGGGTATGTTCCGAAATACAACGCAGTGTACTATCCAATGCAAATGACGTCATGAATCGACGCTATCCTGGTGATTCATTCCAAAACATTGGCCAGTATATGACGTCATACTTTTGCACCATTTGGAAAAGTGTTGGCAATTATTTTGTCATTTTGTGCTCCAAAAATCACTATATCCTCCTAATGGATATACCATCAATTATTCTATAATTTTTTGTATTTGAATAAACAGAAACAAATTCTGGCATGCTTCATTCGGCAAACACACAATTAAAAATTGTTTTATTATGGCCGGATATCCGACATAATATGGCGGCGGCACGCTAGTACAATAAAGTGTCAAATGATGACTTCATTTGCGTTGGACAGTACACTGCGTTGTATTTCGGAACATACCCCATATATCGTAGTATGCTTACATATTTAGGTCCAATGAAAGATTTTTTTTGCGACCTTGAAGCCTAATGCTAATGCTTTATTGGTGAAATATTTGCAATTGTTGCCACGCTTGGCAAGAGGATTGGCAACCGCAGTTTTTTATTGTTGGTCGTTATTAAGAAGATGTTGCTGCTCATCTCCTGATTCGTTTCCCTCTGTCGCACCTTACGACACTCGCGGGATGATATGGGGTAGTGGATATTCTTACACGCCACCACACGGTAAGTAGTGGCGGTGTAGTTACCAAATTCAAAATAATTGCTCAAGGGTGACTTTCAGAAACGCAAAATAAAGTTAAATATAAAATAAAGATATTGCCTGTATTCTAGTTTATTTTTATTTTTCAACTTTGCTTTTAAAGCCGATGAAACATGTTGATGAATTATTCAAAACATACTAAATCATGAATTATTTTCTAGTAAATGAAGAAGCTGTAAGTGATGGCACTAAAGGCTGTGAAAGGACCGCGTTAATGTTCAGATGCAGTATTGAAAAGGCACCGAAGGTTGGTCCACGTGTTCTTTGTTTTGATACTTAAGTACCTAAACATACCTAATTAAAGTAACTACATCGACCCACAGTGATGTTATAGGTCTCCTCTCCCCTTCAAGAGAGTTTTACGGTAGTAGAAATCCGCCTGTCTGCTTCATTGCGTATTTGCAAACTTCATCCGTTTTAAGAACATTTTTAATTTCTCTGATATTTATGGACTAATTTCCCCAATATGTGTTTTATTCGGTGCTGATGATAAATTAGCATTTAAAATTGTATCACATTTATGCTACTTTACAGACAGTTGGAGTATAGAGGTAAGGAGGACAATCTCCCATAGGAAAATAGTAGAAAATGTGTCCATCTGTAAGCAGCAAATAACATTTAACAACAAAAATCTCTCCACTACAGCGCTTGAGTAGCTACAGAGTATGAAAAAAATTCCGTAAAATATGTTGAGAGTGATTTTGAAAATAAAAAATTTTGAAAGCAATAAAATAATTATTGTAAAAAGAATTATGGTGAAAGTCTGTGCAATAAAAAATTATAAAAAGTTCTTCTAAATTTAGACCGTAGCTACAGTGGCGCCACCGTTATTTAGCGCTTTCCTCCGGACACTTTTTGTACAGAGTCTGGTACTGCTTACTTCTACACTTTGTAACGCTGCCCTCTAAATAAATATATATTATATATTAAATATATAATTAATTTCCCTTTTTCAAATAAATTATATATATATATATATATATATATATATATATATATATATATATATATATATATATATGTGACCAGGAAAAAATAAGATATGTCAAAGTCCAGGTAATAATAGCCCACCCCCCCGAAGGGGAATTCGGTAACTGGACCGTAGTCCACAACAAAATAACTGGCGAACCAGTAAAAGAAGCTTGGCCCCTTGTTAGTGCGTAAGCACAAACATCGACCGAAGGCGCGCATGTCAATGCGTGTAAACCCCATACAGAATACGAACCTATCCAGCCAACAAACACTGGCCGTAAACCCTCCGTGAGCCGCAGAGAGCGCCATTGAGAATAGCGTCCCACCAAACAACCATAGCAGAGACACAATGCTGCAGAACGCAACAAGAATCAATACGACTATCGTCGGGCTTACACCATCCCAAGGTCCCCCACACATCCCACCAGACATCACCACCCGCATACCTCCATCGACCAGAACCACAAAAATGCGTCGAATCAGGCGTAGCATACCCGCAGATCCATCACAAGACGCAATACCGCAAGTAGCAGTAAGCATCAATGCAACTATCATACGGATGGCGCCCCCTCACAACACACCCACATGATCCCTATCGACTTTGGTAACAAATTTTGTATTGTTGTTAACTAAGAAATATCACCAACGTATCATAGTAGCACGCTACTAAGACGCCAGTGAACAAAACTCCACGTATCATAGCGCTAATGCACTAAGACATGAAGTTGAGTATGCCTGCTACACTTAAAAGTGCAACCAAACACACTCATCCCAATCCGAAAGAAAGGCATCGCTATGCGCTACGACGCGTCCACAAACGGTAAGGGTGTGCGATGTCCACGGGAAAGCCGTATTGCAACAACAAATCCGATTTTTTTTTTTATAGAAGAGAGGAGCAAACGAGCATGCGGCTCACCTGATGTTAAGTGACTACCGCCGCCTATGATCAACCGCAACACCAGAGGAATTGCAGGTGCGTTGCCGGCCCTTTAGAAAGGAGTAAGCTCTTTTCTTGAAGGTCCCCAGGTCGTATCGGTCCGGAAAAATCGCCGGTGGTAAACTATTCCACAGAGAGATTGTACGCGGAAGAAAACTCCTTTTGAAACGTACTGTAGTGGACCGCCAAGCATCCACATTGTGTGGACGGTATCGGGACGTTTGCCGCGTAGTGCGTTCACGAAATTTGGCGGCGGGGATTAATTCGAACAATTCCTCAGAGCACTCTCCATGGTATATGCGAAATAAAATGCAAAGAGATGCAACATCTCTTCGCAGTGCCAGTGAATCGAGCCGATCGGAAAGCACTCGGTCGTCGACGATTCGAGCCGCTCTGCGCTGGATGCGGTCAAGTGGAGAACAAAGTATAACAGTATTCCATGTGCGGCCGAACCTGCGCCTTGTAAAGTTGCAGACGGTGTGCCGGCATGAAATACAGTCCCGCTCTGCTGAGCACGCCAAGCTTTTTAGAGGCCGCTTACCACCGGCACTAAGATGATATGTCTAGGACACATCGGTTAGCGAGTCCAAGTTTACCTCGGACCAATTGCTCGTGAAGCAGCATACACGCCACCATAATAATCCTTTTCAAGTCCCTAGTAAAGGGCTAGTCATTTTGGTACAGTACTAAGAGCAGCGGTCGGTCACCCGACCACCCCATATAATGCTTATGCATCAAGGAGACCTTCTATAATAATGCTTTTGTATCATAGACCTTACTTTCATAAGTCATTAATATACATGATTTCAACCCACGATTCTACTATTGTAATGCAAATTCATCATAGAGACCTTCTATAGTATTGCTTTTGAGTCATAGATCTAACTTTCATAAGTCATTAATATATAGGACTTGAACCCACGACCCTACTATTGTAATGCAAATTCATCGTAGAGACTTTCTATAGTATTGCTTTTGTATCATAAACCTAACTTTCATAAGTCATTAATATATATTAATGACTTACTAGTATTGCTTTTGTATAATTAAGTTTACTATCATAAGTCCCTAATATAGGACTAGTCATTGTGCTACAGTACTTCAAGCAGTCGGGCACCCGACCACCCCATATATATGTACAACTGCAGGTATGCATCTCCGGCAGCTCATCCATACAAGCCATCTATACACGAACACTTTCCATAACTTAGGAAAATTATCTTTTATACACGAACTCCTTCCAAGACTTAGACAATTTTTAACAAATTTTCTAATTATGTTATAAATGTTACTTATCTTTATTTTTATAATATTTTCGATATTCTATTATTTATCATATTTTAAATATTTTTACAAGTCTTTTTAATAAAGTTATTTATACTGAAAGACAATATTTTGTCTTATATATTTTAAGACTATTTTTGATGCCCCTTTATATTGAATTTAATTATTAATAATAATATTGTGCCGTCACAACTTCACAAGACAGTTTCTTAATGCACTTGCAATAGAAGATTGTTGAATGAGAAACCACGAACTCTTAAAAGCAAAAAATGAAATTATATACTCTAAATGCCTTATTAGTCGCCTGTATTTACGGAATATTTTTTTTTGAATGGATTGTTTTAGTTTTAGCTTGCTAATTTTACCAACATCTATTGTGCAGTATGTGGCCAGGCGTCAAGCAAAGCAGAGGCAAAGGTTTTTACCTTTGCTTCTTATTGACGCCTAAGAAGCCAAGGTTACCTACAGTACCTTTAAAGTAGTTTACCAACTGGGGTTGTTTAAGTGTCAACTTCTACACCATCATTTGCAATTCTAGACAATAACGATTAACAGTAACAGTGGCACCAGACGGCAAGAAGCTATAGTGAATTACACCAAAAGTAGATTACCAACTCGGCTCAAAATTTCCGCGTTTCTACGCCGATTCAGCAAAACGACGCAATTATAATAATTCGAAATAAGTCGACTGCTGAACTTAGAATTCAGGTCATCGGGTATTTCTACGTTCAGCAGTCGACTTATGGACTGCACTTGTTCTGCACTAGTACCGAAGAGCACAGGAAGAGCCACGCCGCAGCTATATTATGGTTGTAGCATGAATGGATCGGTTCTACCGGAGAAGGACCATGCTCTAACAGAATACTAGCGTAAAATAGAAGCTTAATTCTGCTGTGTTTCGTATGGTGAGTGTAGAAAACCGGAGACCCGTTTTACAGGAATCGAGGCATTCCATCTTAGTCCTCAAGGGTGACAACGCATCTGCCTTTTGATTCATAAACCAGGATAGATGTAGATGTCCATGGGCCACAGCAACCACTTACCATGAGGTGGACTGTGTGCTCCTTTGTCACCCATAATTCGCAACAAGATACTTAGTACTCACTTAAACTCATTTAAGCTTAGTCCTTTCTAAAAGGCCGGCAACGCACCTGAAATTCCCCTGGTGTTGTGGTTGTACATAGGCAGCGGTAGTCACTTACTATCGGGTAAGCCGCATGCTCGTTTGCTCCCTGTTCTATAAAAAATTATATATCTTTGAAATGAATACGCCGGCAGCATCTAAAATATCTTTGAAACCAGTCAACCACTGATGGAGATATGGTACTACAACGTAACAGACTCCGTAAGATGTCAAAATTAACAGTGTTGATGGCAATGCTTAAATCTAACAATACCAACATAATAACAATATAATACATACATAATAAGGTTGTTCATAATCTATACCTCGTCGAATATAGTCAGTAACTTTGACCAGCGCCGTAGTAGTACTATAACCTGACTGGGAACCGCATGGGAGAAGATTCAGATGGAAATTTATATTTAGTGACAGATTGAATTGGTGAACTTATACGGCAAGATAATCATATATTTTGTCCATGATATATAATTAACTTTGAGCGTAGTTTTCCCAAAAACTATCATGTAGGTGTAAAATGGATAATAATCTAACCACGATCAATACATAAATAAATGTATGACTTTAACAAAAAAAATTATAAAGAATGGATATTTTAAACGAAAGAGGTGAGTTACTTTATGATTCATCTCCAACCGCCTGGTAAGCCTAAACATAGGTTGTACACCAACCTTTGTAACGCGTGCTAGGCAAGAAGTGTTAGAAATAACCTTTGCTACCAATAACATGTCCAGGCGGATAAATGACTGGCATGTTAGTAGCGAAAAATTCGATGTCTGATCACAAGCACATTAAGTTTGTGATTGGAGCATCACCAACCTTTGAAACCGTTACTTTTAGGGATCCGAAAGCGACCCCCTGGGATATCTACAGAGATAGCCTAAGGAGGAATTTGGAAACGTTTCCTAAAAGCATCGAAATAATTGAAGGTCTGGAGTTAGCGACGGAGACAGTAACCGTAGGTATCCGTGAAGCCTTCGAAGATAGTTGTCCCGTCAAAACCAAGACCTCAACACGAAAAGTTTCTTGGTGGAATTCTAAGCTGAAAGACCTTAGGGAAAAGACCAGGAAACTATTTAATAGGGCTAAGAAAACTAAAGAGTGGGATATTTATAGTGCAGCCCTAACTGAATATAATAAAGAAATCAGGAAAGCCAAGAGATCATCGTGGAGGAAGATATGCGAGGAAGTTGAGTATTTGCCTCGCAGTACAAGACTACACAAGATGCTATCGAAAGCTAAACCTAATCAGATCGGGCTTCTTAAAAAGCCAGATGGTAACTTCATTAATAGTGAAACAGAAACATTGGAGTTACTAGCGTACAAGACTTCAGCCTTGAACTCTTTCAGAGCCCTACGAAGGCCTTGCAATGAGGACTGGCGTAGGGCTGCAAAGATAATAAGGCCAAACCTTGTACAGGGGGCTGTTGACTCCTTTGAACCATTTAAATCAAGCGGGGAGGATGGAATAATTCCCATCCAACTACAGTGGGGTATCGACATCCTTCTTCCTTATCTGGTCAAAATCTTCAGAGCAAGTTTTGTATGGGGATATATTCCAGAACGATGGACAATTGTCAAGGTTCTATTTATACCTAAGGCTGGTAGAAAGGACTACGCTTTATAAAAGTCCTTTAGACCTATAAGCCTATCTTCCTTTCTTCTTAAGACATTGGAAAAGGTTATATATAGATATATAAGGGATGTAGCTCCAGCTACGAGGCCCATACAACCAGCATGCTTACAGCAGAGGTAAATCTACGGAAATACCCCTGATCAGTGTCATTGACAGGGTCGAAAAAGCACTGGAGGATAAAGAAATAATTCTTTGTGCCTTTCTAGATATTGAGGGCGCCCGACAGTAGCCCCACATCACTGCTGATTGGGGGCCTAACATCTAAAAATGTTGACCCCACAACCATCAGATGGGTGAAGTCGATGCTCTCAAACAGAAAGGCAAAAATAACGCTGTTTCAAACTTCGATTGAGGTTGCAACCACAAGAGGCTGCCCACAAGGAGGTGTTTTGTAACCCCTTCTTTGGACTCTTGCGGTTGACCAACTATTGTGCAAAATGGCAGACCTACGCATTGACCTACATTGATTACATTGGGTTATGCTGATGACCTTGTGATCATTGCGAGGGGATTTTGCCAAAGTAATTTATCGTCAATAATACAAAGAGCCCTAAACACCATAAATAACTGGTGTAGGCATAACAGTTTATCAATTAATTCTGATAAAACTGTTATAATACCCTTTACCAAAAAGAGACGGTTGGACAAATTAGTCCAACCAAAACTTAATGGTAAAGAAGTACCATTTTCCACGGAAGTTAAGTACTTGAGCGTAACAATCGACCAAAAACTAACGTGGAACTCTCACCTTAGCAACGTATGCCATAAGGCAAAAATTGCTTTAGGTACGTGCAGTCGTTTGGTCGGGAACAACTGGGGCTTACGTCCCAGTATGGTCCTATGGCTGTACAGCAGCATAGTGAGGCCGATTCTCACTTACGCCTCTATTGTCTGGTGTAACAAGGCCAACCAAAAGACGACTGCGGACAGACTAAATAGTCTACAAAGGACTGCCTGTCTAATGGCAACTGAAGCTATGCGATCATCGCCTGGAGCGGCTCTTAATGCACTTCTATGCCTAACGCCCCCTGATCTCTATCTAGACAAGGAGGCGAGGGCTAGTTTGTATAGGATTAACGCCCAGGGCGGTCTGAGCTTGCACTCCTACAGATTGAGATCCATGCTCGACTTCGGTGTGCGAAAATCAATCTGCAAAAACACTACGTCAACCATAAAATTTACATAAACTCTGATAGTCAAGCAGCACTGCTAGCGCTGAGATCAAACTTAGTGGACTCAAAGCTAGTTGGAGACTGCGTGAACCGTTTAAACGCCCTGGGTTGTAACAACAGGGTCGTTTTAAGATGGGTTCCGGGTCACGAGGGTATTGTAGGCAACTAATTTGCCGACAAACTTACACGGGAGGGCTCAAAGTGCACACAATTTGGATCCGAGCCATTTTGTGGAAATCTCAAGAAGCCTAGCCCGATTGACCCTTGAAACTCTTTATCACAATAAATCACTTAAGATCTAGTCTGACACACCAGGCATACAACATTCTAAAACCTTAATCCGGGCCTTTGATCGTAAATTCGCTTCAGAAGCCCTGGGATTAAGTAAAAATAAATTGCGCATTCTGGCAAGAGCCCTAACTGGACACTGTTGTCTTAAAAAGCACATGTCCATCCTGGGACTAAGCAACTCAAGGATGTGTCGGTTCTGTTCCATAACGGAAGATCTCACATCCTAACCGATTGCGAACCCTTAATGAGCAAACGTAACACTCATCTGGGACACTATCTTCTCCGCCCAGAAGAAGTGAAATTGCTCACGGCTAAGTAACTCCTTCGATTCATTGAAGACATAGGGCTTAGCAGTGAACTATAGCCATAGCAGCCATCACAATAGATCTTTTAGGTCGCAGTGATACTGGTCTCTTTACCTAGACCTGCATAGCTGCTCGCTTATAATAAAAAAATATATAATTAACTTTGAGCGTAGTGTTCCCAAAAACTATCATGTAGGTGTAAAATGGATAATAATCTGACCACGATCAACACATAAATAAATGTATGACTTTAACAAAAAAAAAAAAAATTATAAAGAATAGAAATTTTAAAGGTTAAATTAAATATGTGTACGTCTTTACTGTTAATTTTTTTTGATAAATTCTATCAAATCGATATCTGTAGGAGACAGGGCTGTCAAGTACGCTTAATATTAAATAAAAAATTAATAAAAAAATTTAAAATTATTCAAAACAAAGCAAACTTTATGTTTACGTAGTAAGAAAATACCAGCAAAATTACAACCAAATCTACGCAAGATCAGTGGCCAATATCTGAAAGGGAGATTAGTGTGGGTAGTATACGACTGATCTTAAGGTTGCTTATTCATTGAGCATGGAGAAACTTAGCGAATTCTCACCAATTAATTCTTAGATAAAATATTTAACTTTTTAGAGTTGTGGTATTTTTCTTAATAAACTAATCTTTTTTTATTTATTTCAGCTCGACATTTTGGCGTAAGAGATATAACGAAGCGAATGCATTTGATAGATAAAAGTTAAATAGTACATTATTCCTTGTTTTAGTACATAATAAAGTGTTAATAAAGATATTTAATCATGTTTTTTTTACTTTAATTTCACAATTCTCCTTCCATGTACAATATTTCTTCATCTTCTTCAGAGTCCGTAAAAGTCAAAATGCAGAACATGGGTCTTCAATGGCGTGGAAAGGATTTGTTGTAATCGTTGGGCTTATTAGACTGACTCACGATCGCAGTTCAAAGTAGAAATTATCATGACTACAGCATTAGGTGATTATTATGATATATATATAACCTTTAGTTTAGAACCTTTAGTTGGAACCGTTAAGTTGGAGAGGTCTCTTATAATGAAGTCCACGCATCCCCATCGTACTCCAATCCAAAGTCCTGAAGCCTTTTAGCTCGAGTTACAAAACCATTTTCAGTACCTAGAAGACTGCAATGCAGTAAACAATATGAATGATAAGCTCGTGGAAACTATCCATAAAATCAAAGCTAAGTTCTGCAAGACCCGCCACAGAAGATATCAAAAACTCTCTGATCACGTTCTTAATATCACGGGTGTTAGACGGGAAATGAAGCTGCAGTCTTCAACACATTTGAAGGCATACAGGCAAGTGAATAGACAGATCTCTAAATGCATGCGGCGGGACTTACACAACTTTAATACTGCTCGTATTAAAGAAGTCGTATTAAAGAATGCCGTGTAGTGGCGGTTAAGAATATCCACTACCCCATATCTTCCCGTGGGTGTCGTAAAAGGCGACAGAGGGAAACAGGCAGGAGATGGGCAGCAGCATCTTCCTGATAACAGCAACTGTACGACAAAAAAAAAACTGCGGTTGCCAATCCGCTCGCCAAGCGTGGCAACTATGGCAATATACCCCCATGAACAATTACACAAATAGACGGCCCCCAGTCCCCGGCGGCCCCGCTATTCCTGGCTACGGTGGCGACCATAGTAACGGCGGGGCAGGGGGTGCTAAGAATCTCCGGTGGAGGTTTGGTTGCCACCTACGACGACTCGACCTGGCAACATTTAACGCACGCACACTGAGGACTGACGAGAAGATCCTGGAGCTGGAAGAAGAGATAGACAAGTTGCGCTGGAGTATTATAGGATTATCCGAGGTCCGAAGAGAGGGGGGAGGACACGGTGATTCTCGAATCCGGCAACTTGTTCTATCATCGGGAGGGCGACCATCTGTCCCAAGGAGGTGTCGGATTTATCGTCCACAAGTCTCTCGTCAACAACGTTGTAAAGATTGGGAGTGTGTCGACGAGGGTCACGTACCTGATACTCAGAATCACCAAACGGTATTCGCTGAAGGTCATACAGGTTTACGCACCAACCTCGGCACATCCCGATGAGGAGGTAGAGGAAATGTATGAGGATATTTCCAAAGCCATGCATTCCTCCAAAACCCACTACACGGTGTTGATGGGAGACTTCAACGCAAAACTAGGCACAAGAGAAAGCGGTGAGCTGAAGTTAGGGAAATTTGGAGTAGGGCAATGGAACCGAAGGGGCCAGCAGCTGGCCGACTTTATGGAGAAAGAGGAACTCTTTATGATGAACTCTTTCTTCCAGAAGCGGCCCCACAGGAAGTGGCCCTGGTCGAGCCCCGACGGTTCGACAAAAATGAGATTGACTTCATTATGACGACCAGACGTCAACTGTTCAGTGATGTCTCAGTGATCGCAAGGGTGAAAACTGGCAGCGATCACCGAATGGTTAGAGGCACACTGAACCTAAACGTTAAGTTGGAGAGGTCTCGTCTAATGAAGTCAACGCTCGGTCCCCCTCGTGCTCTAATCCAGAATCCCGAAAACTTTCAGCTCGAGTTACACAACCGCTTTCAGTGCCTACAAGATTGCAATACAGTGGACGATATGAATGACAAGCTCGTGGAAACTGTCCATGCGGTCGGAGCTAAGTTCTGCAAGACTCACCGCAGAAGAACACAAAAACTCTCCGATCACACTCTTAATCTCATGGCTGTTAGACGGGAGATGAGGCTGCAATCGTCAACAGATTTGACAGCATACAGGCAACTGAACAGACAGATCTCCAAATGCATGCGGCGAGACTTACGCAACTTTAATACTGCTCGTATTAAAGAAGCGATCGAGCGGAACCAGGGCTCCAAGTCTTTGCCAGAGATCTGTCTGCCAGAAAGAGCCAACTGTCAAAGCTGAAGACTGAATGTGGCAGCATCGTTTCCGGCACACCTGAGATGTTGAGTGAGATTGAGAGGTTCTATGGGCAGCTGTACATATCATCGTTGGAGCCACACGCAAGTGTGAGTAACGATCCAAGAGCAAGTCTTATCCGACACTATTCCGATGATATCCCGGACGTCAGTCTAAGCGAGATTAGAATGGCTCTCCAGCACCTTAAAAACGGCAGGGCCCCAGGCGAGGATGGAATTACAGCGGAGCTTCTGAAAGCGGGTGGAACACAGGTACTGGAAGTCCTTCAGAAGCTCTTCAATTCCGTCCTCCATGGTGGCACTACTCCAGAGGCGTGGAGCAGAAGTGCGGTGGTCTTGTTCTTTAAGAAAGGCGACAACGCTCACTTGAAGAACTACAGACCGATTTCCCTTCTGAGCCGCGTCTACGTGAATGAATGAATGAATGAATATACTTTATTGCACACCACAAACAAATTTACAAATAACATAACAGAGAGCAGATTACATATACAATTTGGCGGCCTTATCGCTACATAGCGATCTCTTCCAGGCAACCAAAGGTGTAAAGGAATAAAACAGTGAGTACTAGGTAGGTGGTGCAATATAAATATACCTAATATAATATCAATACATGCAATAAAATAACATATAAGTAAATAACTAATACATTAAAAAATATGATACACATATACATAGGTATATACATAAACATACACACACATATATACATATATATATACATATACATACATATACATACATACATATACATTCATACACATATATACATACATATATCCTCAAATATATACCACTAACAATAACATAAACAAATAAATACAAAACTATATAATCACATAATTTATCCTAATGATTTTCGAACGATTGAGACAAGTAATGCTCTTTAAGAAGTCGCTTAAAGACTACAATAGTCTGAGCTTCGCGTAAATACAAAGGTAGGGCATTCCAGAGCTTAATAGACTGTACAGTAAAAGATTTATTAAAGAAAGATGTATTGTGAGTTGGTACCCTTAAAATGAGTTTTCTTGAAGAGCGTAAAGGTTCCCCTGGAAGCCCAACAAAACTAAATTTCTCCTTAAGATAAGGAGGAGTAGAAGGGTGAAATAAGACACAGTACAGAATAGAAAGAATATGCATGTTCCGGCGAAATTGGATAGGTAACCACTTGAGACGTGAGCGAAATTGGGAAATGTGGTCAAATTTGCGCAATCCAAATATGAACCGAATACTAGTATTTTGAAGTCTCTCAAGCTTAGTTAGCTGGTCTTTAGTTATGTCTACATAGCTTGCGTCGGCATAGTCGAGAATCGGAAGGAGAAGAGACTGTGCGAGCATAATTTTTGTAGGAATGGGAAGAAATGATCGAAGGCGACGCAGTGAACTAAGAGCGACAAAGGTTTTCTTACTTACCTCATTCAGTTGGCGTTTCCAATTTAAGGAACTATCAAGGTAAACACCAAGATTTTTGACATTGTCAAAGTAAGGGATCACAACCCCATCGAATACAACAGGTGATATGTAAAACCAGTCAATTCTTGAGATAAAGCTCTGACTACCAAAAATGATAGCCTGTGACTTTTTAGGATTGACATTTAGGCCATATGATTGACTCCACTCATGAATCATATTTAAGTCATTGTTTAATGTAGCGATTGCATTTGGCAAATTCTCAAGAGTTGACTGGGTGTAAATCTGGACATCATCCGCATACATGTGGTAGAGAGAAGAAATTTTATGAGTAATTGAATTAATGAAAATGGAAAAGAGTAAAGGTGACAACACGCCACCCTGCGGCACGCCTGCAGTAATATCACACCAAGATGAGTGAGTTTCATCAACATGAATACACTGCCGACGGCCACAGAGGTAACTTTGAAACCAGTCAATTACTGATGGAGATATGTTAAGGGAATACAACTGACTCAACAGTATATCGAAATCAACAGTATTGAACGCATTGCTGAAATCTAGCAAGGTCATGACTGTGAGTTGTTTATTATCCATACCCCACCGTATGTCATCGGTAACTTTAATTAAGGCAGTAGCCGTACTATGACCGGGACGGAAACCGGATTGTAAAGAATTCAACAAATTGTGCTTATTAAGGAAAAGTGTCAGCTGTTGGCAAATAAGTTTTTCAAGGACTTTAGAAAGGAAAGGTAAAATCGAAATGGGACGGAAATCAGTGAGGTTGACGGGATTAGATTTCTTCGGAAGGGGTATAACATAAGCACTCTTCCAGGCTTGTGGGAATTTAGAGGAAGATGCACATGCGTTAAGCAAATGAGTGATAATGGGAGTGATAACATCAAGGAAAGGAACGATCATATTACGGCTAATGCTGTCGCTACCGACAGCATTTGAGGAGATGGATAATATGATTCTCTTAACATCACATACAGTAAATTGACTACGTGCTGTTTTCGAGAGTCATTACGAATCGTCTCGCACGCAGACTCGACGACTTCCAGCCTCCCGAACAAGCCGGTTTTCGAAAAGGCTTCAGTACCATAGACCACATACATACCCTGCGGCAGATTGTACAGAAGACTGAAGAGTAGAATTTGCCACTTTGCCTGGCGTATGTGGACTATGAGAAAGCCTTTGATTTCGTCGAAATTTGGGCGGTGCTGCAGTCCCTTCAGCGGTGCCAAGTTGACTGTCGGTATATCGAAGTGCTGAAGTGTTTATACAGTAGGGCTACGATGGCTATCCGAGTACAGAACCAGAGCTCGAAACCTATCCAACTGCAGAAAGGTTTAAGACAGTGTGACGTTATATCCCCGAAACTCTTCACCGCTGCTTTGGAAGACGTTTTCAAGCTACTGGACTGGAAAGGATACGGTATTAACATCAATGGCGAGTACATCACTCACCTTCGATTTGCCGACGATATAGTCCTTATGGCAGAATCGCTGGAGGACTTAAGCACTATGCTCAATGACCTCAATAGTGCCTCCCAACGGATAGGTCTTAAGATGAACATGGACAAAACAAAGATCATGTTTAATGTCCATGTCACACCTATGCCGGTAGTTGTTGGGAGCACTATGCTCGAAGTTGTTGACGAGTATGTTTACCTGGGACAAATAGTCCGACTAGGTAAGTCCAACTTCGACCGAGAGGTCAATCGACGGATTCAACTGGGCTGGGCAGCGTTCGGGAAATTACGACATATCTTCTCGTCAGGTATACCTCAATCTCTAAAAACTAAATTGTACAACCAGTGCGTGTTGCCAGTGATGACTTACGGATCTGAGACGTGGTCCTTCACTGTGGCCATATGAGGACGCTCAAGGTCGCTCAGCGAGCTATGGAGAGGGCTATGCTCGGAGTTTCTCTGCGTGATAGACTCAGAAATGAGGATATCCGCAGTAAAACCAGAGTGACCGACATAGCCCAACGGATTAGTAAGCTGAAGTGGCAATGGGCCGGCCATATAGCTCGAAGAACCGATAACCGATGGGGAAGAAAGGTTCTCGAGTGGCAGCCTCGTACCGGTAGGCGTAGTGTAGGGCGACCCCCCACTAGATGGAGTGACGACCTGGTAAGATATGCAGGTAGTCGATGGATGCAGGTGGCTCAGGACCGTGCTTTGTGGCATTACTTGGGGGAGGCCTATGTTCAGCAGTGGACTTGTGAAGGGCTGTAATGATGATGATGATGATGATGATTAAAGAAGCGATCGAGCGAAACCAAAGCTTCAAAGTTTTTGCCAGAGATCTGTCTGCCGGAAAGAGCCAACTGTCAAAGCTGAAGACTGAGTGTAGCAGCATCGTTTCCAGGACACCTGGAATTTTGAGGGAGATTGAGAGATTCTATGGGCAGCTGTACACATCATCCTGGAGCCACACGCAAGTGTGAGTAACGATCCAAGTGCAAGTCTTTCCGACACTATTCTGATTATATCCCGGACGTCAGATTGAACGAGGTTAGAATGAATCTACAGCATCTTAAAAACGGCAAGGCCCCAGGCGAGGATAGAATCAAAGCGAAGCTTCTTTAAGCGGATGGGAAACCGGTACTTAAAGTCCTTCAGAAGCTCTTCAATTCCGTCCTCCATGGTAAAACTACTCCAGAGACGTGGAGCAGAAGTGCAATGGTCTTGTTCTTTAAGAAAGGCTACAATGCTCTCTTGAAAAACTTCACTCCGATTTCCTTTCTAAAACTCGTCTACGTTCTGTTTTTGGGAGTCATTACGAATCGTCTTGCAGACTAGACAACTTCCAGCCTTTCAAACAAGCCGGTTTCCGAAAATGCTTCATAACCATAGACCACATAAATACCCTGCGGTAGATTCTACATAAGACCAAAGACTACAATCTTTACGCCTTACGTATGTGGACTATGAGAAGGCCTTTGATTCCGCGGAAATTTCGGTGGTGCTACAGCCCCTTCAACGATGCTAAGTTGACTGTCAGTATGTCGTGCTAAAGTGTTTGTACAGTAGGGATACGATGGCTATTCGAATACAGAGTACAAACCAGAGCGGTCGGTGCTGCTCCTGATCTTTCCCCAATCGTGTCGGTTGGCTATCGCATCATACTATGAGAGTGAGGAAATGGGAAGTTATGTTTGCGCATACACTAGGGTAATATAATCCTATATTGCGCAGCTGGTTAGTCTCCGTTTAGACTAGCTGTCGTTATTGATATCCGATCTGGAAAACATTAATATTAATATTATACAACATTAGAATATTAGCGCTAGCATTTTTAAGTTGCGCCACCACGCTGCGGCTAAACTATGGTTGTAACAAGTATGGGTCGGCTTGACCGGGTTAGTACTATTCTCTCACATAATATCACCGTAAAATAACAGCTTAATGCTGCTGTGTTTCGTATGGTGAGTGAAGAGAACTGGAGACCCTTTTTACTGAAAACGACGCAATTGCATTTTGATTCTTAATCGATGATAAATATAGATAGTCAGTAGGCCACAGCGTCCACTTACCATCAGGTAGACTTTCGTTTGTCAACCTTCTTCTATTATAAAAAAACAGCATATAAATTCGATTTGTTATACAGGAAATACTTATCATTTGACACGACTTTAAATCAGCTTCGATGGCAGTTTGCTGTTGTTCCTTCAGTAAGCTGATACAGAACTTTGTGTAAGCTTCTTTATTTCCGAATATGACACAAAATAATCAATACTTACCGTTTTCATAAATAGGTTATATTGGTTCAGGATGCATCTGTTATCACTCCAATCTACTCCGAGAAAATCGTCCACGGGACTCGGAGGAGGCCAAAATATTCAGAACATAAGTGTATGAAAAAAAGTATATCACACACCTTCGATTTGCCGACGATATAGTCGTTATGGCAGAATCGCTGGAGGACCCAAGCACTATGCTCAGCGACCTCAATAGTGTCTCCCAACAGATAGGTCTAAGATGAACATGGACAAACAAAAGTTATTTGTAATGTCTATGTCACACCTATGCCGATAGTTGTTAGGAGCACTATGCTCGAGTAGTTGACAAGTACGTTTACGTACCTGGAACAAATAGTCTGACTAGGTAAGTCCAACTTCGAACGAGAGGTCAATCGATGGATTCTACTTGGCTGGGCAGCGTTCGGTAAATTACAACACATCCTCTCGTCAAGTACACTTCAAAACCTGAAAACGAGATTGTACAACCAGGGCGTGTTGCCAGTGATGACTTATGATTCTGAGACGTGGTCCTTCACTGGTGGCTGTATGAGGACGCTCAAGGTCAAAAGATACAGTAACCCACTCACGATGTCGGCCAAGCTCGGAGTGAGTCAGGGTATCTGTATTTCATCATCATCTCGACTCTTGATGACGAGGGGAAAACACCGCCGACAATCCCGCGGTGTGAGTACTCCATGCAGGATGTGTTGTTTACCCAACGCCCGGTGCGCAGAGCACTCCTCTCCCTGTACGTCAACAAGTCGAGTGGACCTGATGGCGTACCGCTTATTGTGCTGAAGGCGTGTGCTTCGGAATTGACACCGGTTTTAACGAGTCTTTTCCATTGCTCATACTTCCTAGGCGTAGTTCTAAATCATGAAAGACAGGTTTCATGCACGCGATCCCTAAAAAGGTAACCGCTCTGATCCATTCAACTATTAACAGTCAGCTCATGTGGTACCTTGAGGATTACCTGCTGATTAGTGACCGCCAGTACGGTTTCCATCGCGGTCGCTCGATCTTCTGGGTTACCTAACTCATAAATGGGCTGAAAAAGTTGGGTTCAAGGGGGAGGCGTTGGCTGTTAGTTTGGACGTAGCGAAGGCATTCGATTGAGTTTGGCACGAAGCGCTTCTTACACAGCTTCTTTCCTATGGGCTTCCCGAGAAATTGTGCAATTGGATCACCAGTCTTCTTGCAGATCGGAGCATCAAGATCGTAGTAGATGGTGTAAGCTCCGATTACAAGCCCTTTACGGTGATGTTCCAGAATGCTGTGTACTATCACCAACGCTGTATCTTCTGCATATCAATATCAATAAATGTTAACGGTTTGCAACATGTCATTACGTTGCAAACCGTTAACATTTATTGCTATACGGACGACAGCACTGGTAATGGTTTATACACCGGCCGGGCCAATATTTCACGGGAAAACGTCATTGAGTACCGGGACAAACTTGTGTCTGGAGTCGAGTCTTTGTTGAACAAAGTCTCGGACTGGGGCGACTAAATCTAGTCTAGTTCAATCCCCAGAAGAAAAAAGTTTGCGCTTTTACCGCTGTAAAGAATCCCTTCATCATATCTCTTCAGTTTCAAGGCACTTCCCATATTGCCGCAGCCAGTATCAGAATCTTCAGCGTCGACATATCGAGTGACGTGCAGTATCGTGGTGACTTAAAAGATAAGGCCAAATTGGCCTCTAAAAACCTTGGTGTGCTCAGCACAGCGGGACTGCCCAATTCACAAGGCGCAGGTTCGGCCGCACATGGAATACTGTTCCCATCTCTGGGCTGGGGCTCCCCAGTGGCAGCTCCTTCCGTTTGACCACGTCCAGCGCAGAAATGTTCGAATCGTCAGCGACCGAGCTCTTACCAATCAGCTTGACACACTGGCATAGCGAAGAGATGTTGCATCTCTTTGCGTATTTTATCGCATTTACCACGGGGAGTGTTCTGAGGAAAAGTTGGGACTAATTACAGCCGCGCGATTTCACCACCGCACATCGCAACAAAAGTCGCAACACCATTCATACCATGTGAATGACTAGCTGTCTAATTTGAAAGAAGTTTTCTCTCGCACAACTTCCTTGTGGATCCTACTACCACCAGAGATTTATCCAAACCGATACGATACTCTTTTTAAAAGGCCGGCAACGCATTTGCAATTTTCCTGGTGTTGCAGTTGTTCATGAGCGGCGGTAATCATTTACCATCAGGCGAGCTCGTTTGCCCCCTCCCATATAAAAAAACGTAATCCTTCTCTAATCGAAACAACCCATTCTTGTTACAGTCATACCTTGTTTAGGCTATGTTTGTAAAAGTTGTGCTTTTGTCATTACAACAATTAGTTTTATAGATTAATAACAGGAAGTATACACAAAAATGAAATTTAAATAAAGGAAATACAATTAATTGGTATTTCAGTAATGTTTGATAGACAACTATCAAAATTGTAACCAAATCACATCTAAATGTTTCACGCAAAGGTGAATCTATAATTTAATGTAATAATGAACTCTAAATAAATTGTTATTGATAAAATCTTTAATTATAATTATTGTAATAAAGTTAATTTATTGCTTCCGAAGTAATCCATTTAAATATTTTTCTAGAGAATTATAGTGATCATTGTTTTGCAGAACCTCTCGTACAAAGGATGAAGCTCTCGGAAACATTAAGTTTACTGCTTATTATATGTTTGGGGAATTTTGTCCAAGTAAGTATTGTATGTGTATGATCTATTTATTTTATCAATTAAAACTTTAAAAGACTTAAGACAGTTGGATGCGTTACTCATTAGTTCTGTGTGTAGTTTTATAAATTTAAAACTTAATTTTTGTGAAAAAGACTAGGCGTTATTAATTAATAATTAATTAATTAATTAAAAGACTAGGCGTTATTAGCCTAGTCTATCCGCCTAGTCTTTTTCACAAAAATTAAGTTTTAAATTTATAAAACTACATACAGAACTAATGAGTAACGCATCCAACTGTCTTAGATTCTGTGGACAGTCCAGCAGTTATTGTATAAATTCATAAAATAATTCCACATAAATTAAAATATCTATAGAAAAGTTTTTAAAATAACATCACGTTAACTGTTTCCATGGCAGAACATCACGTTAACTGTTCACCGGCACAGTACTTCTTAATGGAATTACAAAATTGTGTATTTTTATACTTCCTGGCAATATTAATCGCAATTTGATTCCCTACTTATATGGGGCAAGATTATGCGCACTAAAGGTGACTGTAGGCGGCGGTGCATTCAGTGAGTACATTTTTAACGCTGATGCAGATGTACTTGTGAATTTTGACCTAGGGAATGCTTTTAACCTCCCTCCTCACCTGAATGGTTTGCCGACTTGTCATGAGGGGGGGGAGGGGTTAGTAGTCGTGGCTTGGTTACCCCAAATTGTAGGGCCGGCCCGAGGGGGCCACTCCGAGTGAGCTTGGCAAGCCCATTTTGGATGTGTGTTGGTGAGCTGCGGTAAGTGGCGTGTCCTCCCCATGCGTGTACTACCGTTCAGCTGAGGTAAAAGAGAGATGTTGGAATGGTGACTTGTCCTATCCTCCGCGACTCTGGCGCAGCCGTACTATTGATGCCGTGGTGATTGGGCCGCTGCTGGATAGGAGTGTCGGTATTGCGATGCTCTCTACGCTCCGTGGCCGCAACTTGTTTGGAGGCGGAGCCACAAACCAGATTCAATACAGGGGTCACAAAACTTGCTGCTTTCGAGTACTAGTTTTTCCTAGTCTAGTAGACTTCTTGATCGAGCTCGGGGGTCCGATGTCGTGGCAAACGGTCTGTCTCAGCGAAAATATTCCACTGAAAGTTAACCAATAAAAACAGTGGAATATTCCGGTGGTACAGAGTGTTTAGAATATTTGTTATATAATTTACGGGTTATTGAAAACTTTCAGAAAATTACGCTTACCATCGAGTAATATCGTTACTTTTATGTAAGAAAATTGCTGGCAGGTAGGTAGTCCCGTGACGGGTCTTTGAACGATGTTTTCCGAAGAGCTTTTATGTCTATAAATGTTTACTTGATTTGTTGGTTGGTGGTTGGCCAGGCTTAGAGCCTGGTGGAATACTTAGAGATAATGGTAGAAAAGCTAACGGTATGACTTAATTGGGCACTTAGAATATAATAAAAGCCTTAGTGTTGGATGCTACATGCGTGGGCACTTTGGCGGCCGCACAACACTCATCTAAGATGACTAATAAATTCTTGTGCCATTTTCTGTAAGCACTTTAGTGCACGGAGTTAGTGTCTGTAGTTAAAGGAGTGGTTTTTTTCTCGTTCAATGGTTAAGGTATAGCCATTCAGCGAGAAAATGCAGCTAGTGCTCTTGGCGTTTTACTGTAGGTGTATGATAATATTGTTTATTTTAATGTTATTAAAAATATCAATTTGTATTAAAATATAATATATAGTAAAATAGAAGTTAGTCCTGTCTTGAAGGTGTTTTTGTGCTAATTTAAACATAAACATAAACGCTCATGCCTATCACCCAGTGGGGTAGGCAGAGACTACGGACTTCCATTTGGCACGATCCTGACATACCAAATTTATGTTGCTATTTTAACATGCTAATTTAAGTTTTCTTATTAACATGTTTTATACGATACTTTTTATAGGGTCTAACTGATGCCGAAGTTAAAGCAGAATTAACCAAAACGATAATGAAATGTACAAAAGAGGTTCCTGTGGATGTATCGGAGCTGTTACAACTGCAGTTACTAAAAGTGCCAAAGAAAACCGAGACTAAGTGCCTTCTGGCATGTGCTTACAAAAATTTGAAAAGCGTAAGTATAGGATGATTATTATTATATATGATATATGATAATTTTCTGGGTTTTTCTCACCCAGAAGCAAGGAATAGCGAAGATTACTTTTCTTTATTGGTATGTGCTGAGCTGATATCCTCGCACTGGTAATGCTGCTGTCCGTAATTTTTTTGGGCATTTCTCGATATAGATCGGTCGCCAGAACAATATCCAACTCACAGCGGGGTAAGCCACGTGCGAGTGAAGTTGATGAATAAAAATGTCTTACGTTTCTTGTATGTTTTATTTGTTATTATTTTTATAGAATAATTAAAAATCATCATTAAATGTCAATAATGTAAATTAAAGATTTGCATAAAATTTTATTATGTAGGTCATAACCTGAAAAAAAAAGGACAAACTTGTCTTATTAACCTATAAGCTTATAACTATAAACTTAAAGGTAACCTTTTATAACCTTTTTTAAAACCTTTGAACTGTTTTACCTACAGCTATTAAATAAATTCAATTTACTTCCAGCTGAATGAAAAGGGTATGTATGACATAGAACACGGTTATAAACTTGCTGAAATGACCAAAAATGGGGATGAAAAAAGGTTGCAAAATGGCAGAAAACTGGCAGATATTTGTAGTAAAAGTGAGTTAATTTTTACATATTATTTCATTTTTTTATAGAACAAGCGTGACAAACGAGTACACAGTCCACCTGATAGTAAGTGGAATCCGTGACCCTTTGACATGTTACATTTATCCTCGATTTATAATTGGAATGCAGATGCGTCGACCTGTGAGTACTAAAATGGAATGCCACGCTTCCAGTAATAAAGGGTCTCCAGTTCTCTACACTCTATACTCACCATACGAAACACAACAGCCTTTAGGTGCTATTTTACGCTGTTATTCTGTGAGATTGTGGTCTTACTCCAGTTGAGCAGACCCATTCGTGCTGCAACTAGTATAGCTGTAGCTTGGCTCTACCATGTAACAAAATATATTTAATTATATTGAACAAAGCAAAGAGGTGTAAGACAGGGCGACGTTATATACCCGAAACTCTTCACTGCGGCATTGGAAAACGATTCCAAGCTACTGGCTGGAAAGATATGGTATTAACATCAATGTCGAGTACATTATTCACCTTTGTTTTGCCGATATAGTGCTTAAGAGTGAATTGCTGGAGGACCACTATGGTCAGTGGCCTTAATAGTGCCATCTAACGAATAGGTCTTAAGATGAAAATGGACAAAAGAAAAGTCATATGTATCGTCCATATCACATCTATGCGTATAGTTGTATGGAACACTAAGCTCAAAAATGTTGACGAGTGTGTGTGTGTGTGTGACATGTTATAGTGGGAGTTAACCCTGCTAGTACGAGGTTGCCATTCGAAAACATTTCTTTTCCATCGGTTTTCGGTTCTTCAAGATATATGGCCAGCCAATTTCCTCTTCAGATTCAGATCCGATAGGCTATATCGGATACTCTGGTTCTACTGCGGATATCTTCATATTTAAGTCTATCACGTATTCATCGTAGCATAAAAAATAGTATTTACAAAATTTATATGTAAGCAAAGATATTAAATAAAAGCGTGAAAAGTTAAATTAAAATTAATTATTTATTTTTACAGTTAACGACGTTGAGGTAAGCGATGGCGACAAAGGATGCGAAAGAGCGGGACTTTTGTTTAAATGTGTCGTTGAAAATGCTCCCAAGGTACAAAATGTATTTTTCAACTTACCTATTTTCCTATCCTAATTTCCTAATTTCGTTAATCCTTAATAAATAAAGTAAAGTAAACAGCCTATATACGTCCCACTGCTGGGCACAAGCCTCCCCATTTTTTTTGAGAGGGTTTTAGGGCAAGGAAGTGTCCGCCGCGCTGCCCCAATGCGTGTTGGCGAATTTCACATGTCTGCGAAATATTTTTTTCCTTATTCCTCAGACATGCAGGTTTCTTCACCGCCGAGCACGTGGTAAATCAGCACTTAAAATTGCAATTAACAATTTCATTGGTGTGGGCGGGGATCGAACCCGGGTTACTCGCGTTCTGTTATATTTACAGCGAGTGTTAACCATCAGAGCTACCACGGTACGAGCCGTGTTAGCTCAAATGGTTAACACTCACTGTAAATCCTTAATAATATTGAAATAATGATTTCTTATACTTAAATGACATAAACAATTTCATGTTCATACTGTGTAGATCGGAACAAAAATTAATAATTTTAATATGTGGGTAACCGCTGTTAACTACGAAATATGGACGTTGAACACCTCAGAATCCCCACCCACCCCTATGAACGTGGGTGCTGTAACTTACAGCCTGTAAGTGCTCGAAACGTCGGGAATATAAAAATGTTAATGCCTCGACGCACCCTTGCACTCCGCACTAGTTGATCACGCATTGAACGCCGCAACCGCATCAATCGCACCACTAACGGCCGCGGTTTAGGTATACCTTCTCCCTCGACACAGCTGCGTGGCAGTCCCATACGTTCCGCACTAACAATGGGTGCATTTGGCAGAAAAAAGCGCTAGCAAGCGCTTGTTAGCAAAATGGCGATAGTAAGCGGTAAGCGCTGTCAAATCGTAAGTAGCTATTTTCCTCCAGGACACGATGTTAGTTTTAACCGGGGGAATCTAACCTAATTTAAATATCTGTTTGTAAAGTATTCATATTAAAAACTTACCAATCATGAATTTTTAATAACATGTATATGTCTATTCATGTCATTATATTCCTTAAAACTAATATTGCACAAAACAACTTCTACTCTACTCTACTCTAAACTCTACTTCAAAACAAACAAATTAAATAAGCAAAATGGCGGATTGTGTCAGCGCTACTGAAGTAGCAATCGTGTCCCGGCCGAAAACTATTTTAGCGCTTGTAAGTGCTTGCTAGCGCTTTTTTCTGCCAAACGCACCCAATATCCTCCTCAGACAACTTCACAGCCAGTTTTTCGGCAATAAGAATAGCGAGGTGTGTCGGATTTTCGCCTTTAACTTCTGGGAGGCAGGAAATTTCTACATCCATAAGAAGTTGTTCTTGATCACGTTCATTTAACTCCATTTTAAGACATTCCATCATTTCACTAATTTCATTACTACGATTTGAAGGTGGTTCACAATTTTTTTGTTGCTCAAGCGCATCTAATCTGTGTTCCATACAGTCGACTCGCTTGCATAAATCGCCTACCGCCGTATAAACTTTATCAAATTTTGCGCTAATTTTATAATATAATCCTTAGTGTATTTGATAGTGATCGTGTAACTTTTGAATGATTTAACCGATTGAAATTACATTCACACTGCAATATCAATCGGTTAAGTCATGGAAATGATGGCTCATTGCTAGGCTAAAATACGATAGGTAGAGCGATGTATTTAAGTTATTAACAAATTATTTGTGGATCAAAATGACGTAGCTATATTAAATGTATTATACTAATCTAATTAATAAAGTAGTTAGTTTAGTAAAAGAAATAAACATGTATATTATATAGTATAGTATACAACATGTAACAAAAATCCTGTGGTTCCCGTTAACTGCGTTATCAGGATCAGTATCCATGCATATAGAAATAATTTTTTTCAAAAAAAAAAAAAACATTTAAAAAAAAATTTAATAAAAAAAAATTATTTTTAAATTGTATGTGGTTTTATTATATCTGCATTGGCCGAGGAGTAAGAGGATTATCAAAGACCCCGCATTACCGATACTCGTGTGAGTTAGAGGAAATAAAACTACATACAATTTGCAAATTAATTTTTTTTCAGTAAAATGAATTTCTTTTAAATGCGTTTTTTTAAAAAAAAAAATTAAGCTTGGATACTGATTCTGATAGCACACTTAACGGGAACCACAGGGTTTGTGTTATATATATATATATATATATATATATATATATATATATATATATATATATACAACATGTAACATAGTTAACGCACTTTGAGAAAGTAGTTTGTTCTGAATCGTTTACTGAATCGATTCCTATCATTTTTAATATAGGTATTTTTTATCCTAAAAATAATTATAACTACGGAAAATACAGTCACACTAAATCTGTACAGTCAAAGCAAACTGAAATGGACCGTAATTCAAGGCAATAAGACTTTTAAGAGTGCAGTTTTATTTGTATTATTACTAATTCTGTCATTCAATAAAAATAAAGAAAAATGAACTTTGTTTCAAGCATTTTAAAGTCTTTGCGTTTGTGGATTTGTACTGTGACCACAACATTCTTCCAGAATAAGTATAACTAATTTGATAAATAATCAGTGCATAAAAATGTTTAACTAAAAATTCAGTGTATTATGTATTAGTATGTATTATGATTATAACATAATATACTAATTGGGGTGTCTGAGAGTGTGCGTTAATTACGCTATATATTGTATATATATATATTACCATATGAGGCCCTAGGCAGGGAGGTCAATTACATAGCCTTAAAAGTCTAGGCAGGCCTAGTGGCACTATGATATCTTCTACGCGATAGCTTTCAATTATTTGGATGTATCGTAGAAAATCATCAACATTATTACTTAAGATATTTAACACTTACTCGGAAATACAAATGTTTCGGAGTTTACAAAACTTTCGGAAAATACAGCTTTTTATCAGTCAAACTAATAAATACAATTTTTTTATTTCAGCTGGGTTTTGAAGTGTAACACTTGAAGAATGAAAATTAATGATACATCCTTCTGAGCACAATATATCAAATTTTCAACAACTTATGTTTATATTCTGTTATCTAAAGTCTATAACCATGTCTACGTTGCACATTTTTTTTTAATTTTTAAAATTTTCTCGTTTACTAGTTAGTTCATAGTAGTTAAAATATATATATTTAGGAAGAACCATCCTATATAAATATAACTAAAATAACATAAAAACAAAAAACTAAAGAACGAACATGTGATAATAAACTACGCGCTGAAAAATTTTTCATCATGTTCTACATATTTAAAAGTGGCGGAGATTATTCTAGGTACTAAAGAAAGAACTGTCATTTGATAGCATTACAGTTCGGTGCGTTAGGGAGACCGTACTCGAGCCACACGCGACATCCACAAACTCCGCCACATGAAGCTAGAAGCAGCTACTAAGGTAGCTGAAGCGACAGCCACCTGTGGGCGGTGATAGACACTTACGTTCGTTGGCCCCTACTTTTTTTAACACATTCCTTGAATTGGCCGCTACTTTATTAACACATTGCTTGCAGTATCATACGTAGAAGGTTTAATGGTCGGTGCCGGCCACAAGAAGCGAGTAGCGACAATTTGTGGATTGTTGCTACTCGCTTCTTGTGTGATTGTTGTCAACACCGGCGTCAACCGTGTGCAGCGAGTCTTGCGTTGCAGGCTTCCGGATAAAACCGGACACAGTCAAGATTTTTGGTTACGTGTGCGGCCAAATGAGACGGTGTCCGACCTGTTCGACTTTTGAATTCACCCTTTTTACTTTTGTTATGCACTTATATATATATATACTATTACGATTATTGAAATTTATATTGAACTATTAATAATAAAGAAGAGTGATTCATTCAATATTACTGTTATTTCATTAGAATCTAAGAATATTTTATGGTTAATGATAGAATGCCTTGTTTCACTTTAAAAAAAAATTATCGTGTCTAAGACTAAAAATGTCCGGCTAAGCTGGCTGGTCTATCTGGCTTTTCGATTTTGAAACCTGGCAACCCTAAGCGAGTCAATATAAAATATACGAAATCTACAAGAAATACGTCGGTAGCTGTAAATTGTGGTTGCGGTCGGTGGCGTGTGTGCGGCTAGGGTTATCAAAACGAAGCAATATTAAATCACCTGTTTGTCTCTCACAGACGTATATTTCTAAAACTATTTCACATAGACAAACAAACGACTTGCTTCGTCCCTTATAATGTGGCAAATTAGGTGAAACATTAGCCGCCGTCTGTCTTTCCGTACGATTGCAGTTTGGCTGTCTTCAAGACAAGAGTGAACAGACTTTTGTTATGATACAGTATAATTTAACATCTAGGGCTTTATAACTGCTTATCGCCAGGTGGGGTCGGGAATGGGATCACCGCTCAACAGGAAGTAAATTATTAGTTCTTACTTTAAATAGCAATTAACAATTTCATTAATGTACAGTGAAATTTTAAGGCGAGCGTTTATTCCTTGAGTTACAAAAAACCCAAAAAACTTCTTTGAAATGAAAGAAGACTCAGGCCCAGCATCGGGACGTATTTTTTATTTTAGGTTCCTAGGCCTTTTTTAGAATAAGAGTGACGTTCGGGCGCACACTCCTCCTGGTGGAAAGTGGATGCGGTGACACATACAAATTTTCATCCATCCTCGATTTAGAATAAAAATGCAGATGCTTTGTTACCTTTGAGGAATTTTGAGTCGAAATTGAACTTTGAAACAATACATATCACATTTTTTATTTAATATTTTTCCGTAAAGTGCATACAATTTTAATACCTCAACGTATCTCCAAATCAATAGCTGAGAAAAATTTAAAGATTATCATTATAAAAATCGTTATATTCTTAGTTTTTTTTTAGACAAGTTTTGCAATAATTTCTTAAAAATTGCTGTCAAATCGTGAAACATGAACAAATGTTATGTAGTATGGTGCGATCAAATGGGAGTTATGGTACGGACTATATGTTTGGGCAGATTCTTTTTAAAGAAAAATTGGCAATTTTTAAATCATTATAATTCATCATCATCATTACAGCCTTTTACGAGTCCACTGATGAACGTAGGCCTCTCCCAAGTAATGACACAAGGCACGGTACTGAGCCACCCGTATCCATCGACTTCTTTCAGCCCCCTCACATTTCAGTTCATTTCAGATATAAATCGTAGGATATTACATCAGTTAGATAGGTCTCTAGTTCATAAAATCAGGATTTGCCAGTTTTAAGGTAATTATTGCTATTACATTTTTTAAATCTAAGATCAAAAAAATTGAAATTTTTTTAATGAATAGATATTTAGTGCTGTCTGTGACAAGAGAACACACAGTCCACCTTATGGAAAGTGGATGCTGCGACCCATATACATCTACATCTATCCTCGAATAAGAATCAAAATGCAGATGCTTTGTCACCCCTGAGTATAATAATTAAGATGGAATACCCCGTTAGCAGTAAAAAAGGTCTCCGTATCCCTACACTCACCATACAAAACACAGCAGCATTAAGATGCTATTTAACGGTGGTATTCTGCGAAATTATGGTTCTGGTAACCCCGGTTAAGCCGACCTATTCATCTTGCAACCATAATATAGCTGCAGTGTGGCTCAACCATGTTATAAAGGTGTAAGAATATCCATCACGCAATTTTTTCTACATGTGGGTGTTGCTAGAGGCAAGACTATGGGAAAGACCAGAATATCTGAAGACTTCCGATAGATGGCGGTATACTATCTTATCTATCTCATTAGATATAAATAATGGTTTAGCGACAAGCTGGCAGGGAGCATAGTCAAATGTACGACACATTTATAGTATTGCAATTATCTAACCACCTGCCAAGCGTACCGATTACTGCAAATCCCTCCTACAAATGTAGAGGCTCTTGCCCAGCAGGTTTCTCAGAAAGTATATTTAATAGAAGAATTTTACTTATTATATTATTTAAGCGATTCTTACCGTCATTTTTATACTGTAAGTGCAGGCTAAAAAAACTTCGCAGAGCTCTGAAAAATTGATACAAAGTAAGTTAAGTTTAGTGACATCTATTGTTCAATGTTTGTATTAACTATACATACCGTACTTAGTTGGTATTCGTTTCAAGTTACAAAGCATTCAGAACTAATTAGTTACATAAAAATAAAACAGATGTCATGGTTTTCGAATGTGTTAAAAATAATTTTTTGAGCATTATTTGTCATAATATTATATCAAACAAAAACATTTATGTAGTAGTAAAAATTTAAATATAGATAACGCCACAAGAAATTATTTTTGTAATGTAAATGTTTATGAATATTATTCATAAAAATTAAAAATAATACCGTGACAGTATTTCGCTAACCAGATTTCTTAAATTTACAGTTTTATTTTATAATTTAGTAATTTGAAAGAAAATGCATTCATTGTTAAAAGGTCGTAAAAAGATTAAGGGATTGTATTAGACTGTAATGTAATAGTTATAAATAATTTGGGAAAATCTTTTACAGAATAAATAAAATTAAGATTGTAAAATAAAATAAGTTATTTAACTCTTAGTAGTAACATAGTTAATATATAGGAACATTTTTATACTGTGGTAGGAATCTGTGTAAGCTTAGACCATTCATCTAAGATGTTAAAACATATATATTATATAATAATAAATAGTGGCACCATTGTTGACAATTTGACTGGAAGACTGTGAAGCGCAGCGTACATATGAATAACAAAAAGATTACAGAATACAGACATGTTCACTCACACACATTGAAGAGTATCGGAGCAAGTTTTTAAACACCCCTGCTCCGGCGCAAGAGTTTACACACACATGGATAGGTAGGTCAACAGCTAACCACTAACCAACTTCATTCAAAACTGCCTTCGCCGACCGAGCGGCAAGCGATGTATCTTTATAATTTCGCTCCTTTTGTAAAATATAACCGAATGATCGGCAAACGTGCTCGTTGATGACGTTTACGAACAAAACAATTGACGTTTAACATTTTGTTTTGTCAATATCGCCGTGCTATAGATTGTTGTTGGTATTGTGATAAAAATGTGTTTTGTGTTGAAGTTGTTGTGTTGTGGTCAAGGAGTGCAGATGTTGATGTGAAGTAATTAGTGAAATTTTGGCTATCATTTATTAGTGAATTACGTTAGGCACTTTAAGTGATCATTATCGGTACCTTATAAATATTTAAGTAAGTATCAACTGTAAAATAGTAACAAGTTATCCAGTTTGTTCTGGCATCATTAATGTTTAATTTTAAAGCCAGAATATAAATATTTCGGAAATAGCTAAAATAATTAAGGAAGACTTAGTATTATTTAACAACTTTATTATGCTGTTAATTTATCACACTTGTAATATAAAAATATTTGCCACGATCACTATCGATAGCCTTTTTATTTATTTATTACGTTGGTTTTATTTTTAGTGGTATTGGAATGAAATTATCTTCTCTCGTAAATTTTGAGCTTCTCTTAGGAATATCTAGACTACTATCGGACACAGACGTTTCTGTAGAAGCGACGTTTTCTAGCGCTTGTTTTCTATTTTCCATTGAGACTCCTTTCATTGCAGGAAAATTATTTAAATACAATCGTAAATTATCTTTCTTCCGTTCTGTATTAATTTTTTTAATAATTACTAGATTTTGAGGTAATCTATTGAAATCTACATTTAAATCAGGTCCTGTTACTTCTTCAGTATCACGTCGTTTTCGTCGACCGGAGATTACACCAAGTTGAAGTAAGACTGGGTTGCTGATAAGGGAGGCTGCTGCTCCAAGAAGTGCAATTCCAGCTAATGGCCATAGTATTGTTTTAGCTAGCAGAGTCTGAAATAATATAGAAACTATTAACCTTTCATATTTTCGACTTAAAATCTATGATATTTTTGTGGCTAAACCTTTATCATCTTCATGTCGATTTTTTATTTATTCACATGTTAAATTAATTCAATAATTTTTTTGGATTTTTTTTTAGTTTACTGGTGAACATAGGCTTGTTCCAACGTAGGGAGGATCTTCCTTTATCTCCACTTTTGGCAGTTGACGTTTAGGATTGACGATTACAGTAACAGAGGTATTGCACCTTTGGCACTGTTACGATCGAGTATCTTAGATTTGGCATAAATTACGATGGTTATACAGCTATCTATCGAAAACCATTACATTTTTCTAGCAATTTTCAGAGTCGCCTCTTACTAAACAAAAAGGATAAAATAGATAATGAATTTCCTTAAACCTCCACCATACATGTAATTTACTACAGGATATTTAAAATTTTGAATATTATTAACTTCTATGTGAAAACAGCAAGCAGTTCTCAACCTGTAACGGTATATTGAGCAAGATATGTCAAAGGTAGAAACTGGTTTTGAAGGAAATACCTTATTCATCGTAGTTTTAGGAAGTCATCAATTCGTAATTACATTATTTTTATTATTCTCCTTTCGTTTTTACTAAGCAGGTTTCTTTACTTACGTTGATGACAAATCTAAGCAGGTTTGTTTACTTAAGTTGATGGCAAATTTGGGATGTAAGGGTTTAGATAGAAGATAACAGTAAATTTTAATTTGAAGATGTATTGATTTTAACACATTATTAAGTTGAACAAGATGGCTAGAAGCAATATCCGTGAAGCCATATATCAAGCTGTACGCTACTGTACTGCCACAGACTAAATAATAATAATTTGTAATTCCATTTTAAATTTCGACTACACTGCTTGTCGTCATATAAACATGTTTACTACATCATCATCATCATGTCCAAGTCCACTGTTGAATATATGTAGGCCTTCTCAAGGAATGCCACAAAGCACGGTTCTGAGCTATTATATAACTTACTTTAGTTCTTTAGATATCTTTAATACTACTACCAGTACTTATGAAAAATAAGATGATATTTACAGCTGATGATTTTTGAGGACTTAATGCTGATAGATTTCCAACACACTTATTTAGGTATTGCACTTACGTGATCGTAGTTTTTATTGAAGTAACCCACATGGTGTTGTCCGTCGTGATAGTCTAAGTGGTGACTGTGATAACCAGAGTGATAATTATCTGGACTATGATGATCAAATGCATGGTATCCGTAATTGCCAGTATCATGAATTTGTTGTTCATAGCCGTGTCCGTATGGTGGACTGCTTTCGTAATTATACAATCCATAGTCTAAATATGTGAAAAATCAAATCTTAGATAAAAAGGTTTAGCCGTCACTCCGAAAATATGTGTTAATGTACATAAGTTCTCATAAACATTGGCAAATATTTGTCAACATAGGCATAATAATTCGTTGCATGCTCTAATTTTTAACAAATATTTGTATTTTTTTAAAGAATAAGGTTGACAAACGAGCACACAGTCCACCTGATGGTAAGTGAATGCTGTGGCCCATAGACATCTACATTTATCCTCGATTAAGAATCAAAATGCAGATGCCTTGTCACTCTTGGGGACTGAATTGGAATGCCTGGTTTCTAGTAAATGGGTCTCCGGTCCTCAGGGAGTCAGGGAGTCCTCAGAGACTAAGATAAAATACCCCGGTTGCAGTAAATAGAGTCTCCGGATCTCAAGACTCACCATACGAAACACGGTAGTATTAAGCTGATATTTTATGCTACTATTCAGTCAGAGCGTAGTCCGTTCCCGGTCGAGTCGACCCATCTGTACTACAACCATAATATAGCTGCAGCATGACTCTACCACGTATAAATGTATAGCCTAAAAATAATTATTCCGCGTCTAGATGTTTGCCCATGAGTAACTGACGTGGTAAAGCAACTCTCTCTCAATCAACACAATTATGGTTGTAGCACAAATGCAACGGCTTGGTAGAAGATGGATCAGGCTCGCACTGACACCGTCATGAAACAGCACCATAATGCTTATTTGTTTCGTTTGGTGAATAGTGAAAATCGAGAACCGGCATTTTACTGGTAGCAATTCATTCAATTTATGTCATCAGAGGTGATTACGCATTTGCACTTTGAGTATAGATGAAGGGGTCTAGGGGCCATAGCATTCACTTACCATTTATCAAAAATATGTAAGACGGCTTCATGACACAGAAGTCTTAGTGTGAAGATAACATTCCAAAAAACAAAAAAAAGATTATGTAAAGCAAAAGTAAAAAAAAATTGTGATAGTTTTAGTGTTTTTCTCATCATTTCCATGTTATACTTTTTACTTGTGTATTTAAAAGCCAAGTAGTGGCGAAGTTTAAGTGTCTATTACCCCAATTCGTCCCGTTGGTGTCATAATAGTGGCTTTGGGATGCCAGAAAAGTCTGATGGTATGCGATTGATGGTAATATGATCGACTATGGAAACGAATTCTGATCATGGAATTTTCGTTTATTACCAGTGGCTCATTTAAAGGGCTCATTCAAAAAACTACTACGCGAGGATCATATTAAAATAATCAACAGTTTTAGCTTACCAGAAGATTGTAGGTGGTCTCTGCTATAGCTTGAGCTCGATACATGATTATCCGCCGTCTCCTGTGATTCAAAACAATCAATTAAGGAAATGTAAAAATTCAAGTATCGGTAGCTCTTGTTAATCGTACTGACGATCACTTAATTATCAAGAAGGACCGACTAGGGTAAATTTGAGTATACATTAATTTTCCAGTTTTGGTATAGTAAAAAGAACATTTAAAATGTAGTCAATTAAATCTAACAGTCATATAATCTTCTAGGGGATGAATGAGGAATACTTAATTATCAGAATTAAAACTCAATTTAGGCGGAGATTTTTCTTTCGATATAATTACGCCCAATTAGTGCGTCGCTGTTCGGATATGCTTCGCTGGCTGGATACTATCGTTCAAGAACTTTTTCACACGCTCTATTATCTTAACCTGTCGTAAGATATCTGAATTCATAGGATGCCATGCCTTTTCTTAAGTCCCTGCTAAAGATATGTGTTTGGTTTTTGTAGGAGTGACAATAATTAATAGCTATATCCTATTTCAGATTTTCAGGGTAAAGAATATTTCGCCGCGCTGCACTATTGCATGTTGGCTCTTATAATTGCAGATTTACTCACGATGTTTTGCTTTACCGATGAGCAAGTTGTAACCCTCTTAGAAATTATAAAAGGCCTGCCGTGAGATGTATAATGCATGTGAGTTTATAATTGTAAAAATGTTGTGCTTAAATCTAGCGTGCGCATTAATTACATGATTTATCTATATTTTGCCCTCCCCCTCCTAGAAGGTAGGTATTATGACAGCAGCATGAACAGGTTGGCTCAATTAGGAAACTACGACGCTCGCTCGGAATACCGCTGAAAAATAGCAGCATTTTGCTGTATTTTGTATGGTGATCGAAGAGAATCGATGACCCTTTTTATTGGCGACAAGACATTTCATCTCAATCCACAGACAGCATCTGCATTTTAGTTCTTAATTGGGGATAGATGTGTATGTGTAACGGCTGCAGCATCCATTTACCCTCAGGTGGACAGTGTGCTAAGTTTTCACCCATACTTCTATAAAAAATAGAACTACCACAAATGGTTTGAATAATGTTTGCCATATTTACTCGAACGCTCGACGAAGAATAAAACTATTTTTACGGATTTTATCGCGTTTAATATTTACTTAATTTGATGTTTTCCCTACGTTTCTAACAAAATCTAAGCATACCACTGCAAGACTTTAAGAGACAGTTAGCTCGTTCTGTGTAGATTGGACCAAAATTAATAATTGTAAAGCTCAAAGTACTCCGGGTTGACTTTGACAATGCGACGTCAATCACCACAGCACCCCGTGGCCATGGTTGCTGCAAAGCACTTGAAATGTCAGAAGCTAAAAATAAAAAAGAAGTAAAAATTAAACGCGATAAAATCCTTAAAATAGTTTAATAAAATGGTTTGATTTACTGTCCGTAATGATAATTTACCAGCATCTAGTCAAAAGTTGGCTATTTGTATAGAAAAATATATGAAAAGAATATAAATAAAAAAATATAAGAAATATATACGAACTTTGACTTAGAAAGGAAAACGAGAAGATTCCGTACGCTATAAAAAACTATAAATCGAATTATCATACGCAGAATATACACATAAGAACCGAAAACCACATATATACCAACAAAATTTGACACAGTGGTCAAAATAGGTTAAATATTAATGGTTCTCATGATATTTACGGAAATTGTTCCCACGGCGATGCTTTTCATCAAAAGATGTTTGGTGCTCTTATCCAAAATTGAATAGATTTGCCGTGATCATTATGTTGGGAAGCTTATGAAATGTCGCAATAAGCTGGAGGTATCGCGCCTAAGGACCTATTTTCCATCATCATCTGTATATATTAGTTCTAAAACATTTACAAATCGCCTCACGGATCAGTATTAAAATGGCAATGGGCTAGTTTTCTGGTAGCAGTCTCGTACTAACAATAGCAGCGTTTGATGAAGTAACGACCTGGTAAGACGTTCTTAGAGTTAAAATCTATGTGGCAATTATTGGGAGAAGCACATGCATGAATATCACGATAATGCCAATGATATTATTCAGATGGTGACTTCTATAATTCCTTAACCGTCATGCAATAAACGAAGTACTAAGTTATTCTACTTCGACACGCCACAAAAATAGAAAGCGGATGAGTCAGGCGCACAGTATTTTTTTCATCCTAACACATTATTCATTATTACCAAGAAACAATCTGATTTCTGACTAAGAGTGGTAGAGGTCGTCACGGGAAAATGTTTTGAGGAATGCGTTTGTTGTGCCTGCTTTTAATTTAAAATTCGATAATTTTAGTGTTTGGAATGAAAGTACATAGAAGCATGTAATCAAAGCAAGGTTGAGAAAGTTAATTATTATACCTATTTATTATAATTTATTGAGTCTGTACATAATAATTATGTACGGACTCACTTCTTATTTGTAATTTATAATAAGAAAAATAATGCAGTAAAAATATTTGACATATGGTTTGAAATATATAAATGTTCACAATAATAAATTATAATAGACTATTTTGTCATTAATAATACATAAATAATTAGTTTACAGCCCTTCACAAGTTCACTGCTGAACATAGGCCTCCCCCAAGTAATGCCACAAAGCACGGTCCTGAGCCACCTGCATCCATCGACTTCCTGCATATCTTACCAGGTCGTCACTCCATCTAGTGGGGGATCGCCCTACACTACGCCTACCGGTACCAGGCTGCCACTCGAGAACCTTTCTTCCCCATCAGTTATCGGTTCTTCGAGCTTCCATATAGGCCGGCACATTGCCACTTCAGCTTACTAATCCGTTGGGCTATGTCAGTCATTCTGGTTTTACTGCGGATATCCTCATTTCTGAGTCTATCACGCAGAGAAACTCCGAGCATAGCCCTCTCCATAGCTCGCTGAGCGACCTTGAGCGTCCTCATACGGTCAGCAGTGAAGGACCACGTCTTAGATCCGTAAGTCATCACTGACAACACGCATTAGTTGTACAATCTAGTTTTTAGAGATTGAGGTATACCTGACGAGAAGATATGTCGTAATTTCCCGAACGCTGCCCAGCCGAGTTGAATCCGTCGATTGACCTCTCGGTCGAAGTTGGACTTACCTAGTCGGACTATTTGTCCCAGGTAAACATATTCGTCAACAACTTCGAGCATAGTGCTCCCAACAACTACCGGCATAGGTGTGACATGGACATTAAACATGCTCTTTGTTTTGTCCATGTTCATCTTAAGACCTATCCGTTGGGAGGCACTATTGAGGTCATTGAGCATAGTGCTTAAGTCCTCCAGCGATTCTGCCATAAGGACTATATCGTATTTTATTTATATATAAAATGTATAATGATTGATTTTTAAGTCATTAATAACATTTTAATAAAATTAGTGTTACCATGGCTTCGCCTGTTATTTTGTTGGTTATTTTATCTATAAATTTTTAACTAAAAATTCGTCATTATAAAACAAAATAAAAATTAAAGCGAACGAAACGAAGTTTTGCAATAATGTTTGTACTGTAGAAAAAAAACTTAGTTTCATGTATCGGTTGTCCATTGACTCATATTTCCGCTTCGACAAGTTTATCAGGAATGTGGGGCATGTTACTGATATTCCCACCAGTAGCCTCGGTTTGTATTTCTGCATTTCAAATACGTTGAACTGTAACATGTATAATTTGCTGTCGCTTTTAAATTATCTCGATTAAGCCTACGCTTTATGTAACTGATTACTCTAAGTTCCCCTGGTTTGCATAACTAATTATCGCTTTTAAAGTGTTTGGTGAATATTCGACAGTTAATTACGCTTTGGTAAACCTTGAGTTTCGTATAATAATATGAACAGAATATAAATGACACTTGATATTATATTTTAGAAAACTCTTTCGTTTTCGTTAACATTATAATATAACTTTGGAATATGTATTTTTTGTGTGTCGTTTTAGTAAAAAAGTCAGGAATATTTTTTTTAACACGTTCTTGTTACTTTGACTTGTAAGTATGTATGTACAGTGTAGTGTATGTGTGTGTGTGTGTGTGTGTGTGTGTGTGTGTGTGTGTGTGTGTGTGTGTGTGTGTGTGTGTGTGTGTGTGTGTGTGTGTGTGTGTGTGTGTGTGTGTGTGTGTATGTGTGTGTGTGTGTTCGTAATTTTTCATTTATGGGATGTTTATGGGGTCTCCTGGATGGTTCTAAGCTTAGTTGGACCCGCTAAGTAGTGCTGTTTTGTCGAAGCCGGAGTGGATTGCTAGTAGAATTATATAATTCTATTTTCACCCAATTCCGAACGTATAAGTTTGGAAAAAAGTTTCTTCGTATTTTATTTACAAATTCAAGACTTTTTGTTTTCATTGTTTAATTACATTTAATTACAATATATGTATATGTACCATTTTGTTCGATAACTTGTGGCCATATTGTAGGTAGTGATGTAATCTTGTCGCTGTAGAATTGCGATTTTTGATCGAATAAATGCGACATGTAGTTTTGACAGTCCCCTCTTGATGTTAACCTAACCCTACCCAAAGAATTCTACTCTACTATATGGTGTATGCATTAACACTTTCCAAACAAGCTCTCTTAATTTTTGCT